AGAGTGTGTCTGCACGGCTCTCTACTGCCACGGCCTACCTGTTCCGTTTCTGGCTCCTTCCTCATTCCTCCAAGGGGCACTGCATCTTCAGGCCAACATTACGTGAGTTTCCCTACCGAGTTCTCTGCCTTAGATTGGCAAGTGGTTTTTACTCATTGTCCCAGATGGAGCTGGACCTCTAGGTAGGTCACACCAGGAGCACTAGACGTTACGGAATTCCACTATTCCTAAGAATAAATTCATTCTAGTATTTGTCTTTTATTTAATTCTAAAGCACAAATAGTTGGACAACTTTGTTCTTCTTTGGAAAGAATGTGCTAAACTCGTCATGTCCCTCTAGTAGCTCCAAGTTATATGGATATTTTTATGCTCATCCCCCTCACTTTAGAAATGAAAAAAATAAATATTCGAGGAGACTAAGCCATTTATGTAACTTTTTTTAAAAGGGCTGGATGTTTTGGTTTTACATTTCATTTATTCATGTGTGGGGTGGATTTACGAAGCAGTGTATGTATGCACACACACACAAGATATATGCCCACAAGAGTGTATGTTTGCAGAAATGTGTGCATACATGTACTCAGGTGGTGTGTCTGTGTGTGTGTGTGATATGTGTGTGTGCATGCGGCATGCGCGGATGTCAGAAGACAAGTTGCAGGAGTCCTTTTTTTCCTTCTACCATGTGGGTCCCAAACACTGAGCTCAAGTCCTCGGTGTAAGTGCCTTTACCTGTTTCTCCGTGGCCCTGACACTATAGTTTTAAAGCCCTAATTTGCTCTTCTCACGCTCACAGATGGCAAGTGGCAGATGAGCTGCAGCCTGGCTGACAACACTCCCCAGTTTTCTCTCTTGTAAAACTAAATGGCACTTTTGACCCTCACAGCACTGACTAAATCCACACGGATCTAGGCTGGTTTTGCTTATCAGTGTGAAAAGGGATGTAACTGGTGAGTGATAAAAGTAACAGAGGCTGCCTGGGAAGGTTGAGTAACTTCTTCAGAGTCCATCATGCCTCAAACTCAAGGCTCAACAAAGACTGCAGGTAACGCCACAGCTTTCACTACAAAACACCCCAGGCAGAGTTCTTAAGGAAACCACACTTGTAGGTAGGTAGTAACCTAACACCACTTAGTGTAGTTCCTTCAGAGAGGAACTACGGTAAACCTGGCTTCCTAAAAGACCTTCCAGGCTTTCCTCAGAGCAAAAGTCTCTCATGACACTGCCTTGACACTACCAAACTAAAGACTCCCTATGGCGTACAGGAGTGAAGGTCTGCTGGTGGTGAAGGACAAACAAGTTCTGCCACTTCCGGCTTGCTAAGGGAGAGCAAGGCCACAGTCTAAGCCTAAAGCAAACACCGCCTCTTGTATTGAATGTGTATTTAAAGGTAGCCATTCATACAACTAGAACACATGTCAGGAAAATCGCTACTGCTCAGTGGTTACATCATATAAAATTTAAGCTGAGACTTCTGTATGTGGAATGACTTGAAAGCTGTAAAGGCAACAAGTAGCAAAATCAAAAACCATCCAGTAACCAAAGCTCTAACACAAGAGGTTTAAGTACTTTAAAATGCTATCCCAGAGTTGACCTTAGAAGAGCCAGGCCCTGCTTCTGACATTTCTTATAAACACCACACTACAGCCCACATCATAATAAATCAGCCCCATTCAATGGCTTCTAGGGTGTCCACAGTGAGCAAACAACTCCCCCCATTCAGGAATGCCTTTCATAAAGTTCCTGAGAGAGTATTCAAATCCTCTTAACAGTATAATCAAGAGATGTCTACAGCTACAAACACACTGGGCTGGCTCCAGACAGGGTCTGCCACTCACTAAAATATCTCTTTTTTTGTATCTGTTAAAGGGGGGGGGGGTGGCTAGAGGGTCTCAGCAATCACTCCCTGTTCTTGACTTACATATTAAAAATTCCATTTCATGAAATTCCATTTTTAGGGCACCAATTATTACTACCTTCTAAACTGCCAAGAACATACCCTCCAACCCAGAATTCCACTTCCTTGATACCTGGCCTTGAGATTACTACCACGGTGTATAGACATCTGTATACATTGTTCTAGCAGCTAAACTAAAACTCAAAACATCTTTAAAGAAGACAATATAATACTATGGGATACTGCGCAGTAGTTTAAAATGAAGGAAACTACATGACACAGAAAAGAATTCCAGATCACACACAAGATGCCACAAAGATGACAGCACATGGACATTTCGATGCCACGGGGGGGGGGGGGGGAGCTTTAGTGTACAGAGCTCCTTCTGCAATGAAGGAAACGTCCTACTACCCTGTCGGGAGTAGAGGAGGGACTAATAAGGACATGGGTTTCTGAAATCAGACTCTTACAATTAAAAAACTGAATTTAAGTTTTACTTAACCGTTGTAAATGTAAGTACATGCGGCTAGTGACTAACATACTGGATGGTGTGGATCTAGAAGACTAATCTCAACTGCTGACAGTGGGCATTCTACCTCTGGGAGACAAGATGAAGCGGCAGGTACCGCAGAGGCAAACTCTGTGGGCAGTCGTGGAACACACAATTTAGCACCAAAATAAATGGAGAGCCACCTGGTTCATGCTGAGCCAGAATCACCCTTGAAGCAGCATAGTTTGTTGTCTTTACACTACCTGAAACTGGGCGAGTATGGTGGCTTTTACCCCCTAAACTTCCTTTAAATCCTATTTCCTCATTTCCTTCCTGAACTCTTTCCCTAACTTCCATTTTATTTTTTTTTTTTTTAACAATTTACAAAGGAGGCGAAGAGGAGGAAGAGGAGGAGCAGCAACACAATTACCAACCCACCCTCAGGAGATTACACTAGGAATACTGAGTGGGTGATGAATCGGAGCTCTCTCCAATAAAGGCAGGAGAAGTTTCCTCCCCACAGCAAACACCAACCGTCCTTACCAGAGTCACACTTCCCTCTTCCTACAGCTCTAACATGGTTTAACTTCCTGTCAATCATAACTTTCTCTGAGCAACACAGTCTTTGACCACTCTCTCTCGTTCACTCATTCATTCATTCATTCAGAACTATGACGGTGTACTTGAGGGTACCCAGACCAATGAACACGAACACTGAGAATTTTCACAAACAGGAATCTATATGCCATGTCGGAGCACTCCAACACAACAAGCAAGTCCTAAATGTCTCTCAGACCAAGTTTCCAACAGTTCTTGAAAGAAAAGAATACAGAACATAGTAGATAATTTCCCCTTCAGCGTTTCCCTTTATTGTGAGCTAATGTCCCTTCTTATTTAAAATGTGAAATGTTCTTAACTAGCATGGGGTGTGCAACTGTAGTCCCAGCACTCAAACTGCTGAAGCAGGAGCACCCAGAGTTTGGGGGCCTGAGCTACACAGTGAGACCCTGTCACAAGAAACCAAATAATAACAATAACAATAATAATAATAATAATAATAACAACATCCATCACAAGAAACCCAAAAAAAAATAATAAAGTAATAATAATAAAAAAATAACGCCCTTTTCTTCATGACGTAAGGGTTAGGTAAAATGAGAAAAGTGCCCAGCTTGCCTCAGTTTGCTTCTACACTCTGACTTCTCAAGAAGACAGCAATGAAGCCTACTGATCCTTCTCATCCAGGGATTTAAAGGACTTGAGAAAGTTCCCTCTGCCCTAAATGCATCCCCTGCACACACACACACACACACACACACACACACACACACACAGTAGTTACTCCACCAACAAATACACCTGTATAATAATTAAACCACTAGTTTGACACGAGGAAGTGGTAACCCTGCCCCCTCTTTTGCTGTACTGTTCACAAGAATATCAATTTCGTGCTGAAACAGATCCAAACACACAAGAAGAAATATGCAGAAAGTCTAATCCAAAGAGAAGGTATACACTGAGGTGACACTAACAGTTGTAATTCATGACAGTTACCTCGGTAACGATAAAGGTAGCCGAATCCTCCTGAGGGTTATCTCTGGCTACTCTTATTTAAATATCACCCACACTGAAAGAGGTAGGCTAACAGACAGGACAGGGACAAAAGTAAATAACTTAATAGGAATTCCATCGCCAAGTCTGTCCCTATCACTAACAAAACTGCAACTTTCTCTTGGTAATTTAAAGTGACCCAGAGTTCCCACGGGCATTTCAACTCCTGACTCACCAAACCCCTAAGAAAAAAGGACTTCTGACTTGTGGTATTCCACGTTTGTACATAAAGGGAAAGGCGGAGGAGGGGAAAACATCCTGAACAGGGTGGCTGGGCTTGTTCTGGTTCAAGTGAAGCTAGCCAAAACTCGCCAGTTCACCAGCCAAATGTGCCCTTTAGTTTCTGGGTGTGACCTTGAACCAATCATCCAACCACTTCAAGCCCATCTAGACTTGTTAGCTTCGCAAGAGAAAGAAAATTCCTCTTCCAGTGTCTGTCATCGGCCCCAAAGCACTGAAACATCCCTTTCCTTTTGCACATAGTACGCATTAACACGACTTATCTCACAGCATCAACTGGAGAAACCCCTGAGACTCACAACATAGTAAAAAGCTCGGATACAGTGACTGACTACCAGCTAAACGCGAGTTACTGCCACTTAGGAGCAGCCATCAAACTTGGAAAGTTTCAAACACCGGGATGTCAAGTCGAGACCCACCACACACAAACTGCTCCACAACGCACGTGTATTCCACCCAGATCTAGCAGTTTCTATGCCGGGGCTTGCTGGTGCGACCCATGAACCCTGGAGTTGTTGCAGCTAACGGACCCGAACTGCTCCAGGGCACTGGGCAGAGTTTGTGTACTCCACAGGCAGGGTGAGACGCCCAGGCCCCGCTGGCTTCCCAGGGCCCCCCACCCACCCACCCCGGGCCGCCAGGGCGCCCCCTCCTCTGCACACGGGGGTGGGGGAGGAGGGAGGGAGGGAGCGAGGCGGCGGGGGCCGGGCTGGGGTGGGGGAGGAGAGGGGGAGAGCGCGCGAGCATCCCCGCGCCCAGACCCACCTTCAGCAGGATGGACGGCGGCAGCTGGTTGATGTCTGGGATTTCGGGGGGCGGCTCCCTGGGGCAGTCGCAGGGGTTCTCGGGGTGCCCCTGGCAGTCCGCGTCGCCACTCTCCGGCTGCTGCTGGGTGGACGAGGGGGCGGTGCCCCCAGCTCGGACGGCGTCCCCGGCGGCCTCGATGGGGGCACAGTCGGAGGCGGGAGAGGCGGGCGCGGGGCAGAGCGGCGGCGGCGGGGGCGGCGGCGGCGGCGGGGGCTGCTCCGGGGCCTGGCAGCAGCCGGCATCGGGCGGCCGCGGCGGCGAGGCGCCTCCCCCAGCCGGTGCCCCCCCTCCGCCTCCTCCGCCGCCGCCGCCGCCGCCGCAGCCCCCGCCGCAGCCCCCGCCGCCCCCGCCGCCGCCGCAGCGGGGCTGCTTGCAGGGGGTGCAGGCGGGGACCCCGGCCCCCTTCCGCTTGCAAACCATCTCGAGGACCGTGGACGGCTCGGCCTGCGGCGGCTGCGGGCCCCGGAAGAGCTGCCCGGCGGCCGGCGGCCCCAGGAAGCGCACGGGCCCCACGCCGGCCAGGAAGACGCCCGGGCCCTGCTGCTCCCAGGCGGCGGCGGCGGCGGCGGCGGCCAGCCCCAGCTCCTTGCAGCAGGGCGCGGGCGGCGAGGCCGAGGCCGAGGCCAGCAGGAGGCGGCGGGCGGCGGCGGCGCGGTCCTCGGCGGCCAGGGCCGCGTAGCGCCGCGCCAGGTGCTGCGAGCAGGCGGTGGCGGCGGCGGCGGTGGCGTAGGCCCCGTCCCGCGGCGGCGGCGGCGGCGGGAGCGGCGGGAGCGGCGGCTCCTCCTCCGGGCCGGCGGGGGCGGGCGCGCCGGGGCCGTGCACGATGAAGCAGAGCATGCAGGGCCCGCGGAGGAAGCAGTCGCGGCTGCCGGGCGGCGCGGGCTGCGGGGCCGCCTTGGCCGGAGCCCGGCGGGGCGCCGGGAGCAGAGGGCGGCGGCACCAGCTGCAGCAGCGCGGCCTCTTGCGGCTCGGGCGGTTACGCGGCTCCTTCGAGAGGAGGTGGCCCATATAGAAGGCCCCGGGCGGGCGGGCGGGCGGGCGGGCTGGCTCCGAGGCGGCGGCGGGGCAGGCCGAGGGCTGGCCCGGGCCTCTGCCCGCCGCGGGGTCGCCCGCGCTGCGCGCCCGGCACACGCGACGGCCGGCGGGCGGGGGGCGGGCGTCCGCTGCGGGCCGCCCGGGTGCCCGACGCGGGCTACATGCTTTGCCTCCCCCTGCCGCGGGGGAAGCGGCCGGGAGGGCGGGCGAGCTGCGGGGGACGAGGGAGCGAGTCGGGCCGGCCGGGCCGGTCAGGCGGGCGGGGGCGACGCCGGCCCCGCTCGGACCATTTTAACTGCGGCTCGGCTCGGCCGGCGGCGCGCGCGCCCGCGACACCGCGGCGGGGGCGCGCCGGCGGGGGCGGGGCCGGCCGCGGGGGCGCGCGCGGCTGCAGGCGGAGGGGCGGGGCCGCGCGCGCGCGCACTGGCGGGCCCGCGCCCCGGGGTGCTGGGGCTGCGCGCCCCTCTCTCTCTCCAGAGGCGGGCGGGCCCGGGCGCTCCCGAGCCAGCTGGGTGGCGTCCGTTCGCACGGCCGCGCTGACGCCCCGAGCTGCCATTGGCCCAGGCGCGGCGTGGGATCACCTCGCTGGGATCCCACCCCACCTTCTGCCCCGACGCGGAAACCGAGGCCCCTGGGGGACCCAGAGCCGCCAGCGCGGCCGGGAAGGCGGCGGAGAGCCCGGAGGGAGTGGCGGACGCGCCGCCCTCGGGCACGTTGGTTGTGCGGCATCACTGGTTCTGCTCACATGTCCAGGGACCTGTTGCACGCCGCTGCCCTTGCACACGGGTGCAAGATGAAAGCGCGTGTCACTTTACCTGTAAGCACTGCGGGCTGGGTTCGCAAACGCGTTCCAGGCTTCGAGCTCTGTTTCTGGGGAAACCTTGGGAGTCCAGTCGGGCCACTACGTGGAGGGTATTGCGGTGCCCGTGTGGCAGACTTTGGTGAGAAAGTAAGCTTGCAGTTGTCCCTTTAGAAATCCTGATTACACCGGTGCTGGGCACACAGGTAACCGGTTCGCTGCTGTGGAGGAGTTGGCTTTCACACGGGAGAAGGTAGGGAAGGCTGCCTTGGTCTCTTCTGCAGCTACAACAGTACTGTGGACTGGATGAATTATAAACAGTTGTTTATCTGGCTTTTGATTCCGGGGACTTTGGAAAGTGGGAAAACATCACGTGGCGTCAGCTAAGTGCCAGTGTCCATCGATGCTCTTATGAGGAACCCACTCTTGTGGTGGCTGTCCATTCCTGAGGGCAGAACTCCAATGTCCTCATCGACTCTTAAGGGACACCCATACTGCTGCACTGGCTAATTTCAGCGTTAGTTCTGGAGGGGACTTTGAAACCATAGTGACGATTATAAGTGGAAGCTCACAGAAGTGATGAAGAAGAGAGTCTTTAGGAGGACCGACTTCGTTGTGCCCGGAGGAAGGGGGGAAGGAAATGAAGGTTGGAAAGAAGTAGGGTACATCCTGTTTCTGGCCATTTCTACTTTCCATTAGATAAAACCCCACTACCTGCTCAAGGAAAGTGGGTGTTTTTAAAAGCTGCCAAGGACAAGGTTGGGGAATGTGTCTCCACCCAAACATACCACCAGATTTTTGCTGACCATGGTCTCTTTTCCAGAAACCTCCCTTGTAAATCCTCATATTCAGAAATCGCACCTCCAGGGTCTGAGCATAATGAAGTAGAATTTCAGGAAACATGGAGACAAAGATTTGTCAGAGAGATTCAGAGAGCTGTTGTCCCTAAAGAGACTCCCCACACCACGGCCATAGCCTGTGATTGGGGAGGGGTGTTTGCCACGGTCCCAGACCTTCCCTGGTGAGAGGCCAAGTAAAGCCTTATAGATCGTTCGCTGCCTCCGCTTGGCTACCCTGTGAGCAAAAGAAGCTGCTCTAAAACTGTTGGCCAGTACGGCCCTGTCAGTTTCCTGTCAGTCAAACACAGACCGGCCCTTTGACACATCAGTCCTAAGTGTTGTATTAGCAAGAGAAATAGAGCCCTCTGTCTACGAAGAGGCTTGTACAGAAACGCTCATTACAACCCTCGAGGAGCCCAGCTATCCCTCAGTGGGAGATTGAGTACGCTGGAGTATTCATCCAGCGCAACACTATTCATGAATTAAAATAGAGTATGAATGAATCTCATAACTGTGGGTTGAGTCAGACTGTGGAGTTAGAACCCAAGAGTGTCTCCCTGATTTTAGCTTGTCCTTTACGGAGAGCCTGGCACCGTGCAGACCGGTCAGAGCTCCATGTGTGTTCTAACTCCAGCTTCCCATTTTTAAAAATGAGCTGGGCAGATGAGCCTGAGACTTTTGAAGTTTCTGAAATTTACCGTGGCTCTTTTATTACAATTGCTGAGCCAGTCAGCAACGAACAGATTGTCTTTGGTCTACTAGTTGCACTCTGTCTATGGATAGACAGAGTGTTGGATAGTTAAGGAATTTCCTGTCTGCTCTCACCGCCCCCCTTCCCTTACTTAGACCTTCTTGAGGAAAAGAAAAGAAAAAAGAAATGCCTCATGTGATAAAGCTTAGCATTATCACTTAACTCTTCACTCCAACTCTTGGTCTAGGGGTTCACACCTGTAATCCCGGAGCCGGAAGAAGATGAGGCAGGAAATTGCTACAGTTCAAGGCATGCCTAGGATACGAACACTTAAAAATGGGTGGGAGAGGGAGGCACTAAATTGTTATTATTGTCATTGTGGTTTGAATGGTAAATGCCTCCCAGACATTTGAATACTTGGCCCCCAGCTGGTGTTGTTTGGGTAGATTTCAGACTTGGGAGCTTGATGGAAGGGTGTAGGACAGACAGGCTTTGAGGTTTCAGGACTTTACAGCGTACACTGTTCCCAGCCTCAATACCATGCCTGCCCTTTGCCACCAAGGACTCGAGCAAGCCCAAATAAGCTCCTTTATGGTGCGCGTTGGTCATGGCGTTTTTATCAAAGCCATGGAGAAGTAGCTAACTCAGTCACCAAAACTGTAGGAACTAACTACCCGAAAGAGTGATGCAGATAAATTTTCAGGAAATAAAACCGTGAGCAAGAGCTATTCATTACAATTGGAGACCATTTTGGCAGCTGAATATTAAAGAAAAATCAGTAAGCCCCATTGTAATTAGAAACCCTCATAGACAGAGAGTAGACTGCCCCTTTCACCTACCCCTTGGTGGTACTGCCAGCGTCTGGCCTAGCATTGCCAGCTAAGTCACATACTCTCTTGGGCATAAACAATCACCAAACATCAATGTCACGTATGGCCACTGTGGCCATAGTAGAGAAGGAGAAGGAAAGAACCCTCCACAATCGTGTCTGAACGCATCGAGCACAAGAGCATCCTCCAGACTTACAGTGGGCGGTGCAGATGGATAGAGGCACTTTTGTATTCGGTATTATGAGGGCACCTTAGTAACTAATATTGTAGAAAGGAGTCTGCACATACCTGCTTTTAATAGCTTTCTAGTCAGTGCCAATGACTTGTTCTGAGTTAATCCCTGCCCCCACCCCAGCCCAGGGACCCGTAGAGGAAGGAGTACACGGTTGATACCCAGTACACATAAAACTGAGCATTTCAAGAAGGACCTGGACCCAGCTGTCCATAAAATGAGAGAAGAGTACAAGGGGTGGCCATGAGCGATACAGACGTCACAAGGCTCATAACCCTGGCTGTGAAGAGGGACAGGCAAGATGGCTGTGCACCCATCCTTCAGCAGCTCCCTGTGTAATCTGCTGGCTGGAGAGGAGATGCAGCAGTATTTCTTGTAAGGTATCTGTAGTGAGGTAGTCCTTCTGTAGCACTGACTAATTTGAGTATGAATGAGATAGTATTTTACAGCTTACATTGTTATGTATTCCTATGTGGTAAGCTATGTAAAATTAAGTTTATATTTTGTTATATTGTGTTAAATGTTTCCACTTATAATATTTATGCACATTATTTTTTACCATATTCTATGTATGTATACTTTTCCTGTATTCAAGACATTTTGTATATTGATACAATTTGGGATATTTATCTTGCTGCCCTTTATAGTTCTACCTCTTGTCTTGACACTTATACTCTACCTCTATTTTAGGGATTTACATGTAGGTATATGTAAATAGTTATATTGTTTAAGTATTTGTTCCTGCTTTACTCAGGAAAGTTTTAATCAGTCTTTTAGCTAAGTTCCCGAGTATTACAGATTATCTTCACTCACATTTCCTGTACCTATGAGATTAGTCAGATATAGATGCTTAATCTTCAATCACTTCATAGACATGCAGAACATGGCATTTAAATGTTTTAATATTAGTACTCCATTGACATGAGACACTGTTGCTCCTGACAGCACCGTGCACTTTCCCGAAAATATGTTGGACACTGTTGTTGCTCCTGCTGGAGTTCAATCTCGCCTCAGCTAATGGCCTCTTGGGCATAGAATTGCCCCCACCTTGACCACTGATTTGGACATGCAGTCCTATGTGCTTGCAGGAGACAAATATAGAAGACTGCTTGACCTTGCCAAGTCAGGGTAAGACAGCCATTCTACCTCCCTGCTGTTGTTGTGGTCTGTCAAGTTCTCTTGGCCTTAGCCAAATCTGGGTGTACCAACGTCGCTGTGAGACCTAGGGTGACTGTTCAGGTGGCTTGCTGTTTCTGTCCTTGCTGCACCTTTTGGAAGTTGTCCATCCGCATTTCCTGTCTACTCTAGTATTGTTATTTTCCTTCTCAGGTCTTGATGAGGTTGAAGATTAAACTATCACAACTATTATTCTCTCTTCCTAGTTAGATATATTAGGTACTAGACTTACGTTTTCCAGCTTAGGACAACTCTATTGTAAACTCCATTATGCCCTCACCCTAGGACTAGATATGTAGGTCATTTTGTTCTCTATTTTCCTTTTCTTAGAGCACACTTGTTATTCACTGTTTTGTATATAGTTTTGTATTAAGCCTAAATCTTTTCTTTAGACTAAAAGGGGAATTGTAGTGAGGTAGTC